GTATATTGCATCACTATGCTTTACCAAAATAAAGTGATGCAATATACAAACGGTATAAAATCATATGTAATGTAAGTTATGCAGTATACAAGTCAGGTAAAGTGATGCAGTACACAGTGTGGCATCCAATACACAGACTATGAGAGTAGCGGATCATTATAAGTGCGACATCTAATGTAAGTTGTGTATATTATACACTAACTATTTTGAGCATAAAGAGTAGCATCCAAACTGCTTAAACAATTAAACTTGTAGTGTATTAAAACTTATATTTAATCTTATCCATATGACATTTAAGAATGCACAATAACCAAATCATATTTTACAACAAAACCCTTATATCAGATCTAATCCATATAAAAAATCAGATCTAGAAGCAGTAGCAGAATCACAACACAAATGCTTTAATCTGTATGAAATTAATGCTCAAACCGGTATGAATCACAACACAATTGCAGAATAACCGACTCAAATTTAACAACAATATATCAGATCTCATTCATAAAGAAATCAGATCTGGAGGCAATAGCCGATTCACAACACAAATGCTTGAACATGCATGAATCACCGCATAAATGCACAATAGCCGACCGAATCAAATTTCACAACAAAACCCTTATATCATATCTCATCAATAAAGAAAAAACCAGATCTATATTCAATATGTGAGATTTCACCACCAAAACATCAAAACAAGGTTTCACTCAAAAAAATCTAAGGAAATCTAAAAATATTTAAGAAAAATTAAGCTAAAAGGCGAACCTGAAGATAAATATGAAATAGTAAAGAAAACATACTCAAAGATAACACCTCGGTAGCCAAACAGGCAACCAAGCTAGGATATCTAGCAACCAAGCTAGAATACCAAGCAACCGAGCCAACGCTGACTCTTTGAGGACAAATAGAAGTAGAGATTAGAAAACAAACACAAACGACAAACCCAAAGCTGAGAAGGAGAAGGCTCAAAAGCAGAAGAGGTTACTGAACCCGAAAGCTTTTGAGAGGGGAGGGGAAGGCCGGGGCTTAAGGTTTTTTTCTTTATATATAATGTATTATATTAACTATATATTTTATATGATATAAATATATAATATTTATATAACTAATAGGAATATATTATTATTAATAATTTATTATATACTTTAATTTATAGGAATTAATTTTTTAAAATATAACAATTTTCCTTAAATTTTAATTAATTATAATTAATTTTTGGATATATATATATATATATATATATATATTCAAGCCGAACACGAGTTAACAAATTTTTGTTCGTGTTGAACTCATTTACATTTTGAGCTTAAAAGAGAATTCGTGTTCGGCTCGTTTGGCTTGACGAACAAACCGAACAGGAGCTATTTGCGAGCGAACCATTTTGACAGTTCTACTGCTGACTACCATGCGGTTCAAAGATTGAAGAAACAATTTCATTTCTATTTTTCATTACATGCACTTTATTTTAATATTGGACAATTATTATTCAATGGTTGGTTTGTTGAGCTATTTGTGTTGTACTTAATTATTAATTGCCTGCGTGGAGAAGAGATTTCTTTTCTAAGTTGCTATTTTGGAGAAGAGATTTCATTTCTGAGTCATTGCTTTGGATGGTTTAACAAAGTCTCTAGCATTTCATTTAATTTTTACATACAAACCATTCAATTCTAATTACAATTACGCCATAAATACAACAATATTATGAATTTTGAAATTTAGTTTTCCTTGTGACTGTTAATACTTAATTGGTTATTGGCTACTATGGATTGATATTATTTTTAAGGAGAAAATTCAAATAAATACAAATATTGAAGGTGGATAACAACTGGAAACAGTGTTTCTATAACGTAGTTGTTCTGGTTTTACATGAAATGTCAATTGAACTGCTTTAGAGATGTTTCAGTCGATATAGAGATGTTTCAGTCGATATTATCTTCAATTAAAATATTTTAGTCTGAAAAAAAAAATGCTTTATAAGATGAACAATGTCATGAAACATGATTCTGTGCAAAAAAGCGGGAGGTTGCAGAGTTAGTTAACTAATGTTGATTCCCAATGCGTTCTTGGACAACCCTTTCTGGTTCCTTCTTGTTTCTATTATGTTGTAAAACTGGTTTTTGGTTTTATGTATGTTGGTCACTTATTACGCACCACAACTAAATTGAATATTAGTTTTTCATGTTGAAAAAATGTTTTATCAATTGTATTGCCATTCTCTTTTTGATATTTATGGGGTACCACAGGCTAGCATTTTGATGGAGTAAACTGTGCTCGGCTTTTTAGTTTGAATGAAGAATATTTCATTAATATTCTAGACTGGAGGGGCCATTCATGCAACCGTGATTTTACAGCTGATTCTTTATTTACATCAAAATTGTCATTTTCTGAATCAGCACATTTATTTTTTGCATCTGTTCTCTTATAAGAGAGCATTTATAATATGCATCAAAATTATAATGGCCACATGTTTAGTTGATTGGTAGAAATATATCAAATGATAGTGAAACCTAGTAAGTTCTTAGGGCGTGTTAAAATGTAAAAGTTATTACCTTTAGATGTTTATAGGATTAGTATGTTGCTTTGGAAACTTTGAAGCATAAGAGTAACATAAAGGCGTAATTTTGGTGATGCACAAATATCGTTGCTGTAATTGGGTGAAATGATGGAACTTGACGGCTGAGAATGTGAAAAGCTCTACGGATTGAGACAATTAAAGGGAGCGAATTTTTTTTTTCGCATTTTTGAAGTCTTTACTTTGGCAAGTTGGTTTCGAAAATTTACAGTTAGAGCATTTTCTGAACTTTCTGTGATGCTGAGCTTGCTCAGAATGCCCAGAATGCTGTAGTTGCAATGAGCCTTTTTGACTGCTGGTTTTCACATATAGAATGCTGGCATTGAGCCTTTTCTCTCCTTATGGTTTATTGGTTTTCCACTTGTGCTGGGAGTAAGGTTTTTAAGCTATAATTTTTTGTTTATTTTTTTGTATTTGGTTAAGATGTTATTAGATGTTATGATGATTACAACATCTTATTATGGGCATGACATTCATGTATGCAACCATTTTGAAGATAAGAACAAATAAAGTTGCTCAGGATTATTATTCTTATTATTTTATGCTTTGGAAGGCAAACACTACAAATCATAATGGAAGATTACAATAGTTTCTGGAATTTAAATTGACATCTTAGATACTAACTCTAATTTTACTATTCTCGGAAGGCAGATAAACCATGCAATTATATAGTTGATCTACATGAAAATAATTTTAAGTTCATAATATATAATCTAAGCTTTAATTAATAATTACATTTTAATTTTTATTTTCGTTACCAATTTGTTGTTTATTTTTTGTACTAATATATAATTAAGAATTGCAGGTACAAGATTGCTACCGGCTCATAATTCTTCACTTACTAATTGGATTGTCGATCGAGCATAAAGATGAATGAATGAGTACAAAATCAGAGTAATTTTTTTTTTTTTTTTTTGGTATTGTGTGTATAAGCTATAAGGGTATGTATAAGTGTTATCTTGTAAAGGTTAACATGCAATATAATTATTTTTTTTATTTTGATTTTTATTTGTATTCTGGTTTAATTTGTAAATTATAAATTTGTAATACATTTGTTTCTTTAAATGAAAGTAAAATTTTGCAGTAATATACTCTTTATTTAGCCAAAAAATATTAATATCAAGCTCAAATTACTGAGAACTAAATATTCAATGTAAATATTAAACATGCTTATGTATGGCTCCAATTACATCATCATTGCCTCAATGTACTTACTTCAAAGACATATCAAGCTCAAATCAAAGGTTCCTTCGATTATACATGAATGAATAGACATATTTGTAGAAGATGAAGCTACATATGAGGGGCATAAGACAATATAAAAATATAATCTATGAATTAATGAATATTTAATTTAAAAATTATTATGTAAAAGAATTAAATCCACGTCTGAGAGTTGAAGGTTATGCCACTTGAGCTTAAACGCAAAATAATTTCTTGGCTACAACGATAGTTTTTCTTTGTTTTATAGGGCCTTTTACATTACATAACCACACAAATCTTTATGTATTTACGTATCTAGCATTTCAGTCTTTTTATTTGCATGCATACCATTCAAACATTTAGTACTACACCGAAAATACCACTATTACTTCTTCTTAAAGGTGAAATACACCTTGTGATGCATAGTCTTGCGACACCAAAGTTGCTATTAATGTAAATATCAAACTTTAGGTATTACATATATACATATGAATTGTGGTATATGTCGGAAGATTATGCCACTTGGGCCTTTAATGATTGGGCAGTGGTGATTCAATGATAGAGTTTGGTTGGTGCAGATCAGTCGGTAATTGTTCGGTGATGGTGGTTGTTCGTGGCAATTTGGCTGAGTCAGTCAGTCGATGGTGAATTGGTAAAACTGGTTAAGTGAAATTTAAATGTTGTTCTAGAGTACAAGCTCTCTTCAATCACTACCATTCCCCTCTCCTATACAAAGATAAAAATCTATTTATAATATCTCCAAAATTTTAATTATATTTCAAGTGTTTAATTTTTGGCTCATTTACACTTGAACTGATTCACATTTAATGTTCTTTAATTCATTTGATTAAACACAATTCCTATATATCTAATCTAATTTGTGGTTGGGTGAGTTCATGAAGGCCTGATGCTTCCCTACATCAATATATAAAACTAATTTCAGCATTCTACCTTGATTTCCTTCCTCACATCAACATGTAATGGGTATGTTTTATACGACTTTTTATAAATACTTATTATAATTTTATAAAGTAATCAAAATTTTAAAGAATCAAATCACCTCAAAAATAATAAAAGGCATTTATATTAATACCACCCAATTCCTTTGTATTTACAGATCTAACACATAAATTTTACTTCTTACATTTATACCACCCAAATAATTGATATCACATACAAAATATCATTAATTTAACTTTAAATAGAAAGTGAAATACAGGCTATGTAAAAACTGAAGTTTAGGTTAGCTGTGTAAATACATAAGAATTGAGTGGTATGTATGTAAATCTTCAAGATAAAAAACCACCCTCACCTCTACATAAATTCAGAAATTATTTGGAGTCATGATCTGAAGAAATTGTATCTTCCGACTGCAGCTTTAGACCCTTCCCGCAAGCAGCAATGAGAAGAGCCTCAGCACGACCTGCATAAATATTTATTTTTTAATGCGAGAATAATAAATATATAATGTCAAATGAAATAAATAAATAAATAAATAAATAAAATGTGTTCCAAGGAATATAGAATGGAAATACCATGATCTTTCTTCCTCTTCAAGAAGGAGCTCATTGATGGAAATAGAGTAGATGCTGTTTTTCTGCTATCATCCTGATAAAAAGCGATATTTATGAGTTTGCGAATAAAACTAGGGCTATCAAAAAAAGCTCGTTCGTGATTCGTGATTAGCACCGTGTTCGATTAGTTCATTAATCAAGCAAGCAGAACAAGAGTAAGTATTTCGAGCTCAATTTTGAAACAGGCCGAACATGAATATAGCTTCGCCTAGTCTTATTTGGACTCGTTTTGGCTCAAAATAAAAAAAAAAATTAGATAAATAAAATTTACTATAACCTTTATATTATGGATATTTATGCTTTAATTAAAGATTATTACAATTTATAATTTTATAAATTATTCAAGCTAAATTCAAGTCAAACATGAGTTGCAAACCAAAAAAGGAATTAGAATAGAGTCGTACACGTACATGATATTCACGAGCTATTTCAAACACGAGCTGATTACAAAAAATGAATTTTTGAAAGAACTGAACACAAATAAACACCGAGCTCGATAAAGTTCAGTTTGTTTACACTCCTACCCGCAACAGTCGGCCAGAAGAAATGAACGAAAAAAATTGAAGCAAAAAATAATAACAACAAAGGGGCGGGCGAACATGATTGTAAAAATTTCATTTTGTACATCATAATCAAAGGTAAAAGGTTGTTTATTTATTAATTAAAAACATAAATGATGTTTAGTCTTCAAAAATTAGAAAATGAGCTAGAATTCTAAGATGGGGTGAGGCAATCAGAGTGTGCACTAACCTTGCTATAGGAGCTCCCAAAAATTTGGAACTGATCCTTCCAAAGACGAGAAGTTATGGGAACAACTGAGAAGCCGGAAGCCACAAGAATCCCAATCCACAATCCGTATGTGAATCCCCCACTCCACCACCCCTTCAAAGCACCCAAAAAAAAAAAAGTAAAAAAAATTACATAAATATCTGAAAATTCTTATGTATTTACATGTCTAGTGCCTAAAATTTGATATTTAATATTTAATATTTACACTTATAACACCTTGGTAACATAAAATTATGCATGAAAATATTTATTTTGTTTTAAAAAGATAGTGATTGTGGTATTTTTGATATGACGTTAGATATGCAAATACATCTCGAATAAATTTGCTTCATAGAGATAAAATACAACGAAAGTATTCAACTTGTACACCCATATTCATCCAAGCCTTGATAACAAAAAAACTAATAAATCTAAAGTGGATTCTACAACTTGCTATAAACTGTCTCATGTTGCCTTACAAGCTTAGTACGATAAGTTTGGTATGGACATCGTGTATTTAAAATGAGCTTGATTAAGAGAATCAAAATCTTCTCCTCGACAAAATCAATTTCCCCCGAAGATCTCAGCTACTCGTCTGAAATATTCATTTACCAAGAGAGAGTTCTTGTTAGAAGTATTCAGCAAAGTTGATTGAGAACAATAACAGCAACACTATGATAAGTTTAATACTTGTTAATTTTATAGCTCAATCATGAAACGTTGAATTTGTTAATTTTGCAGCTCAATCATAAAACATTGAATTAGTGCTATATTAATCATGCAAGTGCACTCTTCTGATTCTTTGGTAATCCACAGATACATTCATTGATGTTGCTGGATAAACTGAAGTGAAGCCCAGAAGGAAAAGCTCTTTTAAATAAAAAGTTTACAGCCTTGGTGGTGGATTTCACTTTGCCATTTTTATTCGGGAAGTTTACATATCTAGCACACAATTCTTTATGTGTGTACGTATCTCACGGCTAAAACTTCATATGTACATACACTTTGGTGGTGGATTTCACTTTTAAATAGTAGTAATGCTGCTACTTTTGATGTGATATTACAGAATTGAATGCTATGTGTGTAAATATGAAAGTTTCAGGGTGACATATGTAAACACGTAAGAATTGTGTCCGATGTATGTCAATGCCCATTTTAATTTTGATTTGCTTCGAAGAATCTACAAAAACCAATCAGCACAAAGCAACCATCACATTATTTTATCAAGGTTGCATAATACAGAAAAATTTTTATCATGATGCTACATTGGAACTTGGTAAATGAAGTTTAAATTAGGAAGATATACATATCACCAAATTCTTATGTATTTAAATATCTAACAACTAAACTTCAATATCTATGCATGAAAAGGTGCATTTCACTTCTACAAAGTTAAAATTGCGAAATTTTTGATGTGATATGAAAGATTTAAGTGATATAAATCTAAAAAGTAAAGTTTTCTGACCTGTTTTCCATCCTGTGGAAATGGAGTTGACTGCTCAATATATGCTCTCGTTCCTGATGTATCAGCCATCATTTTTTCAGTTAATGAATGGCAAACAGCACCAAGAGAACAAATTAGAAGAAAAATAGAAGAAAATCACGAACAAAAGGAGCACATAACGCTAAGTCGCAGAGGAGTTCAACACTCACAAGCAAGTATAGACGATAGTAACATGGCATGAATAAATAAAAGAAGATTTACATACTTACCACCAAATTCCTATGTACTTGCATATCTAACACCTAAACTTCAATTTTAACGTACCTTTAACTATCATAAAAAGGTATACTTCAATTTTAAACCTTAAAAATGGTGGTATTATTTATGTGATGAGAATGATTTGGGTGGTATACACATAAATAGTAAGTTTTGGTGTTAGGTATGTAAATACATACGAATTGGGTGGTATGTATGTAAATGACGCAAAATTAAAGCATAAGCATAAGGTTTCAAAAGAATAAGAACATGCATTGCAACAGGCATCATAACTAAATAGAATTTTTTAGTTAAAGGCTAAATATGTGATTTATATTGGAATATTAGAATATTTATTAATACAGAATTCTGTCTTAATTACTTTTATTTGCTTTTATTTTCTTTCTTTTATTCCTTTATTCAGCTTTTATTTATTTCCTTACTATTATATCTTGTAATGGGTATTTATACCCGTCTTTGTATCAATAAGAAATACCATGGGGCCATGGCCCTAACCAAGCTCCAGCCGGCTGGCCAGTCACACGTACTATCTTCTCCCCAAATCGAGTGGGCCAAGTTCACGCCTCCTCTGCCGAGCAATTGGGGCCCAGCCTTCTCTAATTAGAGCCTCTGTTCTCCCATCATATCTATCCCATCCCCACTAATTTGGAGCTGCTGTTCAAGAAGGTTTCCAGTCAGACTGTGCCCAGAACTTGTCTCCTCTAAGCTTTTCGTCTTCCTCCTAGAGTCGTAACCGCAACCACTTGGAAAAATCCGATGGTCTCCTATGGCGTGGTTGACGGGATTCCTCGAGGTCGAGGTGGTCTTCACACCGGAAGTCTTTGAGTCAAGGGGGACTTCCCCACAGTAGTCATATCCCTTGCAAAGCGCGCCCATCTTATCTGCTTCGCGACCCCGTTTGGCACAGTCCCATGGGTTCATCGGCAGCATCATCATATTTAAGAATTTACCAAGGTACCAGTTTGGAAACCTTCGGAGCAAGATGTTCCCAGCATACTTTACACTTGTTTCAGTGTGTGCTGCTTCTTCATTGGCAGCATTTGTGTATCTCCATCCGTGTAAATCTGCATCACCTCTAGAACGATACTAACATGGATTTCTCCTTTGTTCTCTTCGCTTCAACCTCTCCAACCTCCTGGTATTCACTCACTTGATTGTTAAGATTACGAAGAACAGGCACAAGGTCGAACGGAAACTGAGCATCAGCAAAGGCCGGGGGCTCTGAAATTTTGGTGGTTGCAAAAGCAAACCTTGAGCTCACTGATCGCAGGGTCGGCACGGTGGTTTGGGAGTAGGCGTGTAAACAAACCGAACACGAAAGAACAGAACTCGTGTTCGTGTTCGGTTGAAATTAAGTGTGTTTGAAATAGGCATGTGTTTGAAATTATTCATGAAGTTACTATTCGTATTCAGTTTGATTTGTTTGAAATGTTTGAAGTGTTCAAACTATTTGAATTGTTCAAATTGTTTGAAATCTTTCAAAAGCTTAAATCTATATGAAACTAATGTTTAAACATGTATGAATCACAACACAAATGCAAAATAGCGGAAACACAACTCACAATAAAAACATAATATCATATCTCATCCATAAAAAAATTCAGACATAGAGGCAATATGCGAGGTTTCACTCCCAAAAACTAGGTTTCACTCAAAGAAATTAAATAAATTTAAAAGAAATATAAAAAAAATTAAGCTAAGAGATAAACATAAAGATAAATACGAAATTACAGAATTTAAAATAAGCTAAGAGACGAACATGAAGATCAAATTAAAATTTATAAAATTTATTTTTTTAAAATATGATAAATTTTTAGAATATATAATTATTTTTAAAATATGATAAATTTTTATATATAATTATGTTAAATTATTTTATATTTCGAACAATAATGATTCAAACACAATTGAACAAATAACTATTCGTGTTTGGTTTGTTTATAAACCAAACGAAAAAAAATTATTCATGTTCGTCTCGTTTGCTTATCGAATGAATCGAACACGAACTCTTCGACAAGCCAAACTGTTCGTGAAAAATGAGCTTTTTTGAGAGCAAGACGTGCCAAACGAGATTGAGGAGGTATATGTGAAAGGCCAGAAGGCGCCCAAGTTGGCCCAGTCGTGGCCAGTAAAATCCAGCAAACCAGAGTGTTGGCAACTGCTACCGACCGAGCAAAGGCTATTGGTTTCCAGGCTGAACCAACGACGGAGCGGTTCTAAACTTGGGGAAAAACATATGCTGCTGGGGGTCTTGCTACAACTTTTGAATCCAACACAGTACAACCAACCTCTACCCAGAACAATCCAGAATCCTTCAATTCTCTTAAAAATCAAATGAAACACTTAATCAAGCTGCTTGGATCCAATTAGCTCTCTTTCAGCCCGTCAACCGTCCATGTTTATCAAGGTACCAATCTTATGACACTCACCTCTTCGGCCTCTTCTAGTCCATCAATCAAACCTTCTTGACCTCTATCCTTGCTCGCGAAAAGATACTATTAAAATTGTTGACGGGTCCCAAAGTTCCATTACTAGAAAGGGTCTGCTGTTAAACAACAAGTCTAACTCTAAAATCTGAGTTACATGTACATCTATTGAAGCGTAACATTTTATCCGTCAGTAAGCTGACATATGACATCGATTGTATTGCTCATTTTTCTACTGATGTCTATCTTTCAAGGTTGTCATTCGAGGAAGATGATTGAAACTGCTAAGAGGGTTGACGCACAAAGAACGAGGGCACTCCACCTAGCAGTTGCAAATTACGTCATTACACTGAATGTCCTTTTATGTTGTTACATTGTCTTTTAGGTCATCCTAGTTTCCAATAATTAAAACAATTATATTTGTTGATGTTTATTAGTAAAAATCCATCTAATTTCAAATGGAAAACCTACTAGTTAGCTAAACATCATCGTTTTCCTAATCCACCCCACAAAAACACATCTTACGCTTCTTTCTCTCTTATTCACAGTGACTTATGGGGACTTTCTCGCACTCATAGCTACATCAATAAATGATGATTCCTTGCTTTGATTGATGACAACACTCAAATGACCTAGATCTTTAGTTTAAAGACAAATTTGAAGCGACTGTCACTTTCCAAAACTTTTACTCTTTCATTTTGGACCGAGTTCAAAACTCCTATTCAAGTTCTTCGAATTGACAATGATTGTGAATTTTTTAACTCAATATTAGAAGAATTCTTAGCAAGTAAGAGTATCATTCATCATAACTTATGTATTGACACTCAACAAAATGAGGTAGCTAAAAGAAAAAAATCAACATCTCCCCGATGTTACTCGCTCTATTATGTTTCACTCAAAAGTCCCAAACTACTTTTGAAATGACGTCATTCTTACAGCCACTTATCTCATCAATAAAGTACACTAAAAAATTCACACCTTCGTACCCATTTAGTCGTCTTGAGATCGTGTTTTCCTAACAATCAGATATTTTCCACTTTAGGTTCTAAAATTTTTGGATGCATACCCTTTGTTCGGAACACAACTCCTACTCGCAGTAAAATTGATCCCAACTCTATAAAATGTGTTTTCCTCGGATACTCTGCCAATCAAAAGGAGTATCAACGCATTGACCCTACCACAAATAAGGTATATGTGAGTGTTGATGTCCCTTTTTTTGAAAGTGTTACGTACTTTCCTAACTTGACCTTAGTGAGAGGGAGCTTGAGTTCTTGAGTTCCTGTGGATGTCCCACCCACGTCTCCTACCACTAAGGAGCCCTCTGTCCCTTTAGATCCATGCGCACCACCTCTCACTCTCCATGTCTACACTCGACGCATTCGTTCTGATGCACCTACTTTGGAGCTTGCTAACCCCTTGCTGGAACCTGAATCCCCTTCGGATGACATCCCCAGCACTGCGCCAACTCCAAAAGAGGAAAATTCCTCTAGTCAGGTATGCAATCGGATAAACTCTCTCTATCCCATGACAAACTGTCTCTCTTCGCAGATTATCACAAACATACAAAGCATTTGCTACGACCCTAACTAATCATCAGCTTCCATCTACTATTGAGGCCGCCTTAGCAGACACAACCTAGAAAGCTGTCGTCATTGAGGTGATGAATGATCTTCAACAGAACAATACTTGAGGCATTGCTGATCTTCGTCAGGGAAAAAAGCTGTAAGATGCCAATGAAATTTTAGTATCAAGTTTAAATCTGATGGATCCTTTGAACGCAACAAAATACGGTTGGTTGTCAAAGGATACTCACAGACCTACGGAGTTGACTATGAGGAGACATTTACTTAAGTTGCTAAATTAGACACAATTCGGGTCCTCTTATCTCTTGCAATGAATCTGAATGGACCATTATTTCATCTTGATGTCAAGAATGCATTCCTGAATGGTATTACAGAGGAGGTATACATGACCCTCCCTCAAGGCTGTGACTCTACTGCCTCCCACAGACAGGTTTGTATTATGCGAAAATCTCTTTATGGATTGAAGCAATTACCACAAGCATGGTTCGGGAAATTCACAAAGGTGGTCGTATGCCATGGATTCACTTAGGCCCAATCAGACCACGCTCTCTTCTTCCGACATTCCTCCAGCAGACAGATAGTTATCATTATTATCTATGTTGACGATATTGTTCTCACAGGTAATGATCTACAAATATTGGACACTCTGAAAGGCATTCTTATTACTTCATTTGAAATAAAAATCAACATCAATAAATGATGATTCCTTGCTTTGATTGATGACAACACTCAAATGACCTAGATCTTTAGTTTAAAGACAAATTTGAAGCGACTGTCACTTTCCAAAAC